TTGGCGACCCCCTTGATAAGTGCACATCCAGCTAACTAAAAGTCTAGTGTGGACTAGAGAGGTTCAACCTGTACTCAGATTTGCACTGACAGGTTAACTGCAGGTTCAAGAATGGGAACATACATTTTGACCAAAATATTCCCCGTTTATCAAGAGCATCACACTTGGATGGATATGTAAATATTTGGTAGAAAGTCATATTTTGTGCACGGGTAACAGCTGATTTCAAACACAACTGTGGTATTCCTTTAAAAAAATTTCACCAGTATGCTTGCCCTCGCTTTGAAGTAAGTATATGGATATATGACAGATCTGTAGTTTTTTCACTAAAGCTATTTTGAGTTATCTGTGCCTGAGAAATGTGTGTGATTTTTTTTCAAACCCACTTATTCACACTCTGCTAACTCAAAGATGGAAAAAACAAAGTTGGACTGAACCTTGCAGTAACCACTCACTTGAACTTAGATCAAGCCTGAGAAATTTCAGCCCCAAATATAGCATTTTGTTCTGAAAGTTCGGGACCTGAAAACAGGTTTTAAATATGAAATTGATTCCTCAGCCATAACGATATTTTGAAATCCTCTTTAAAAAGAGGGTAGAGTGTATATAGCTGTAGCTATGTACTATGTGCAACGTACAAAACATCTTGGCTAGAGTAGAGGGTTACATACTAAAATTACTGCTTTGAAGATTAAAAAAAATGACCAGCAATGGGAGAGGATGTCCCAAATGCCAGACTGAGTTTATTTATAACACCCTTTTTCCAGGTCACTCATTAAATCCAAGGAAGAATATTATCTTCCGTATGTTACAAATTCTATTTTGCATTAGTCTGATACAGCTCTTTCACAAACATATAACTCCTGCAATCAAAACCAGGATTTTTGTATACATGACATTATACAAAAACATTATCATTATACATAATATTATCATACCCCGTGGGAAATAGGTTTTTATAACTTGCCTCTATTTTAACTTGAAGGAAACTTTGACCCTTGCTCAGTCAGCTGTACAACTAATATTAACAGTCTCTGGTTTGGGTGACATTTTTTCCTGCTGTATAACTAATTCCTGACCCTTAACACCAGAAAAAAAATATTCTTACCCACAGCATCATTGGCTTTACCCTGTGGTGCTCTTAGGGATTTTTGTATTTATTTTCCCATTTTCATTTAAATTCCCTCATTGATTTTGTTTCAAGGGTACAGCTGACAAGCCTAGAAAACAGCAGAGAAGCCCCAAATGGATCCTAAGACCAAGGGCTCCATCTTGAAGGGTACTTAGTATTTATGTGAATGAGGACTTCTCTGATGCTTAAAGCTAAGCACCTGCTTGAGTGCTTTGATGGACTGGGGCCAGAGCTTCAGCACCCTCCAGGATTCACGCCCCAAATCCTGACACACTTACCCAGGCTGAGTAAGAGCTCCCAGGTTTGACCCTAGCCAGGTGATAAGAGAATCACACCAGCTCTGAGTTAGTTTTGCCCTAAATGTGCCATAAAAGTAGAGCATTGAGCTGTTTCTATTTTACATAGCCTGTCTCCATTGCAGCCAGTTGATGGCCAGGCAATTAAAAAATAATGTGAAATAAAATAAAGACCACCTCTTGATCAGCTAAAAGAACAAGGGTGCCAAACTATTAGAAGTCACATGAACTCTCTCAGCCAATTGAATTCTATTTGACAGCACAAGGGTGTGTAAGGACCAAATTCTGCCTTCAGACACATGTATATAGCTTACAGTGAAGACAGCAGACTGCTAGTATATATCCAAGAGAAGAACTTTAGTTTAGCCTGCAGTGTATAGTGCTTACTGTGTGCTCATGAAAGTCAAATGCCCAACTGATTCAAGATACCATCAGTTTAAAAGCCAGGTACCGCCAGCTATAATTTTGAGCAGCATAGACATGAGTAGTTGATATTATTAGATTACCTATGTACATACTATTAACCAATCAGAAAATATGTAGCCAGTCATGTGACATGGATGAAGGGGGTTTGGCTTCCGCGCCTGGACTGTGTAAAACAAAAAAAGAAACTGACTATATATATATTTCCAAACCCTTCATTTTTTTCCTCATTTGAGCTGTTTGACTTTTGATGTCCGCTTCTGGCCAGAGGTGGTGTTCGACACATCTCTTTGCATGAACTGTAAGCATGAAGCATAATGAAGCATGAGAAAAACTGCACCGTGGCTGATGCAAGAATTGACATTTTTCTGTATCATTCAAAAGATAGTATTTAAAAATGTAATAATAATCGTGAATAGAGGTTTTTTCAAAGGAAAGTTATAGCAGAGCCAGGAACACCTTGCAGGTGATACGTTAGGTCCCACGGCATCAGCGCACTTTTGATCCTCTTTCATCGCAACTCAAAACCAAGGAGCAGATGTATCAAAGACAAGTCTGATGCCTAAGACAAATCCTCAGGAATTTGTGTGTGCTCCCACTTGCAACCAGATAGCGCCTTTATGGCACGTGCCTTTTGATGGGGACTAGTGGAGAAGCGCAGTGCTCCAGGGGACCACCAGAAGGCACTGTGTCCTATAGGGAAGGCCCCCTGAAAACTCCCCCGGCAGCTGTGGGAGTGCTCACTCTAAACCACCCCTTAGGAAAGTGTAACATGTTCTCATCCAGCTGTGTTCTCCTTCCTGCCCTGTTTGGGTGGCTGGTGCCCCAGGAGTCTTACACCATCATCTGTGAATATTGGATCAGGGTTATGAGAGCAAAAGAGTATTTCTAGCATTAGCACATGCTCTGAGTAGCTGCCTTAATTTCCTCCATACTAGAAATGGCTCTCTTGTTTCCTTCATTGGCACTTATTTGGGGGTTTCATTTCAAATGGTATAACAAAGCTCTTCCAGTGCAATCAGTCAGCAGGATGTTACACCAGGAGAAGTAATCAACCTACTTCCTTGGCCTCTCCAAATAATCAAGAGTGATTAGACTTTTGGCTTCTTTAAACACACATGCTTTGACCATTGTTTTATTGGGTCTCCATGTTTATATGTGCAGGAAGGAATCACAGTGTGGCTTTACTACATCGTGGCCTCTGATTCCATATCACGGAGTCCGTTAAATCAGAGGAGGGCAATAAGATGGTGCCGGGTCACCAGGTCTAGCCCCTGGTGGGCCACCTCTGCTTTAGTTACCTGCACCTCTGCAGATACCGGCGAATGTAGCTCCCGTTGGCCATGGATCACTATTCTCGGCCAATTGAAGTGGCAGGAAGTGCTGCAGACCAGGACACTGCTTCCTGCAGCTCCCGTTGGCTGGGAACGGCAATCCACAGCTAACGGGAGCTGCAAGCAGAGGCATCTGCCAGGCGGTGGCAGCCTGCCAGGGGCTAATTCTGGCAAACCGCATCCATTTCTTGCCCACTGCTGTGTTAAATGTTGCTTGGCTTAACTGGTTACAACATACTCATAGCATTTTGCACTGTTGATAATTACATTCTTCTGCTGAATGCTTGGTAATCTTCATGAATGTAAGTAACATGCCCTTGGCATACAAGACAGAATTAAGCATGTATTACTTATCCTTGTAATTATAATCCATGGTACTCAACTTGTAAGTAAGAAGCCAGACATTGTTTTGTAGGCAAAATAGTAGAACCGAAAATTTCTATCCAAATAAATCAGTTTCCCGGATCCAAAAGTTTTTGCTTTTTACATATTTGCTATGATCAGCTCATCTGTCCTATCTCTCTGCACCGGAGCCTCAGCCAGTGAAAACTACTGTTTATCTAAGGCCACGTCTATACTCACGAGGTGCAGATGGATTTTCTGGCATTCGATTTAGCAGGTCTAGTAATGACCCGCTAAATTGAATGTAAGGAGTAAGGGACGCTAATGAGAGTGTTAGCTCCCATTGTCCTCTCACTGTGGAGACGGCACCAAACTTGGCTTCAGGTACGTTGACTCCAGCTATGTTATTTACATAGCTGGTGCTGTGCACCTTAAGCCAGCCTTCTGGTTTAGTGTTGACCTGGCCTAACATGGGACACTGAGCTGTGCTACTGCACATCGATTGATGATCTCACCCTCTCTTTTAAAAAAAAGTACAAGAAACTAACCCTGCACACACACAAAAGTAACGCCAACTCAATGGCGTTGTTGTTGAGCCCAATCCCTTTCCTTGTGTTTAGTTAGTTCATTTCCCTTTGTCTGTCTGCGTTCCGCCCATTCTTTGTCTCATACTGGTGCATGGATCCATTACCCACACTGCAGAACTGCATAAGCAGCACTTTTTATTTCTGCTCAAGACAACTAACTTGATTTCAAGCAGATTAATCTGTTTTTTTTGTCACCTACACTTCTGGCACGTTATGTATGAGTGAAATTTGCCAGGATTATGTGTAGGGACTATGTATAAATAGGGTTAAAATTAAGACTATGTCTCAGGTTGAAGATGTCTTACTGGTTTATGTGAGATCAGAATACGCCCATGTTTAATTATCTAGAGCCAATTTAAATTTGAAGCATTAAATATAATTAGCTTGTGACATCCTACTTGGACTTCTCTGCCTTCCGTGCAGAACCTTAAATTCTTAGGGGGAAAGACATTACAAATAAGGTATGTAACCATTCCAGTGCTTATCTCAATGGATATGAGTGTGTAGGAGAGAGGCAGAAGATTTGGCTGTCAAGATGTGGAAAAATGAGTCTCACCTGGATTAAGTAGGCAGACAACTTAATCCACAAAAAATTCTTTCTGGTGGGCAAATTTTCTGTGCATAGCGTGCTAGATTGTATCTATAGAAACAAGAACTGATAGATTTCAAACTCTGCTAATACTGTAATAATATAGCTCCTTGTGTACCTCGCAGGTCACACTCAGTTGCCTCTCCCTGTTTGTGTGAGTATTTTGAGTGTTCGTTGGGAGAGAGATTGTTGCTTTGTTCACCAAGAGTCAGCAGCGAGCAGTGTCCCATTTCCTTGATGTATCTGACTAACTCAACGGCCTTTTCTGGGTGGGGGGGTTGTTTCTGTTCCTGGTAGAGTTGACCAGATTGTTGGACGAGGGACGTCAATGACAGACAAGGATCGAACCAAAGGGCCAGCAGAGGGGGAGCTCCCAGAAGACCCGAGCATGATGGGCAGGCTTGGAAAAGTGGAAAAGCAGGTATGGGAGGTTTTTGGTTTTTTTAATAAGGAACATTCTCATGTTCTATGCTCAGATTTTAAAAGTAGTTAAGAAAATAGATAAAAAGTTTGGGAACAATTTTCAAATGTGCCTAAATAACTTACCAGCTTACATACGATTTGTAAAAATGACTTAGGTACCTAAATCCCAAGGTATGTCAGTACCTGACTCTCATAGGCGATGGCACCAAAATACCTTTGAGGATCAGAGTCTTATTTATGTGAGGCCTCCTCTACCCTATAAACCTCTCATTGCCATCCTTTTAACCGACACAACTTCAGCTACGCAAATAGCATAGTTGAAGTCAACGTACTTACCGTGGGGTCTTCCTCAGACTAAGGTTGGTGGGAGCCGCTCTCCCATCAACTCCAGCTATTCTTCTCATTCTCATGGACTACGTCTGCACTGGCACCCTTTTCCAGAAATGCTTAAAACGGAACAGTTTTCCGTTATAAGTATTTCCGGAAAAAGTGCGTCTACATTGGCAGAATGCTTTCCCGGAAAAGCACTTTTTCTGGAAAAGCGTCCGTGGCCAATGTAGATACGCTTTGCCGGAAAAAAGCCCTGGTCATCATTTTCGCGATCGGGGCTTTTTTGCGAAAAAGACTACTGTGCTGTCTACACTGGCCCTTTTCCGGAATAGTTTTTCTAGAAAAGGACTTTTGCCCAAACGGGAGCAGCATAGTTTTTCTGGAAAAACACTGACAATTTTACAGTAGATCGTCATTGCTTTTCCGGAAAAGCAAGCGTCCAGTGTAGACAGCTGGCAAGTTATTCCGGAAAAGCGGCCGCTTTTCCAGAATAAGTGGCCCAGTGTAGACACAGCCATGGAGTTCCAGCATGGACAGGAGAGAGCTTGGAGGTCGATTTACCTTGTCGGCTGACCGCCAATGCATGGGTCGCGGCATTGTCGATCGATCCACTGTCTAGTGTAGACAAGCTGTAAGACACATTCAGAATTAGAGTCATTAGGTGCTTAAGTCTCAAAGGCCCTTATGTCAGTTCCAAAGTGACCCCAAGGGGCCTTTGAAATGTTCCCTTTCTAAGCTTCAAGTCATGCTGTAGGTGTGATTTTTTTTTTATTGCCACGGGATCCATAGTTTGTTCAAGGTAAATTTCACTCCTGAGCACAAGGCTCACCCGAAGTCCCATAGACACGCACTTTAAGCCTAAGGCGAGGCCTGTCTCAGTGAAGTGCGAAGCACCTCTGGTCTAGAGCTGAGGTTCTCCAGACCCTCTGAAATCTGACACATTTCACGAGCATTAACGCGTGCAGAAAGAAAACACACAGGCCACTGCAGAAGCAAACCAACACGTTAAAACATCAATTTTCAGACACTAGAACTTAAAAAAAAAATCCATCTTCCCTAAAAGCAGAGAGGCTCTAGCCAAAGTTCAGACTGGATCTGGCTCCCAGCTCTCTCAAAGTTGAAGGAAGTCAGGTTTGTGCCAGTGGAGGAAGGGGCTAGCTCTGTAAATTCAGACCCCTGTTCGAGCGTGTATGTGAGTGGAGCTCTGTGTGTGCAGGGTATTCCTCCACAGACTTCACCCAGCACGGGGCACTGTGTGTCATTTTGCAGGTTCTATCCATGGAGAAGAAGCTGGACTTTCTAGTGAACATTTACATGCAGCGGATGGGGATCCCACCAACGGAAACCGAAGCCTATTTTGGGTCCAAAGAGCCAGACCCGGCGCCACCCTACCACAGTCCAGAAGACAGCAGGGAGCACATTGACAAAAACGGCTGCATCATCAAGATCATCAGGTCCACCAGTTCGATGGGCCAAAAGAATTTCTCCGCCCCGCCCGCGCCAACCAACACGTGTCCCCCATCCACATCCTGGCAGCACCAGCCTTATCAGCGGCACAGCCATGGATCCTCCCCCGTCGGAGACCCGGGCTCTTTGGTAAGAATCCCACCCCCGCCTTCACACGAGCGCTCCTTGTCCGCGTACAGTAGCGGGAACAGGGCCAGCGCCGAGTACATGAGGAACGAAGACATTACAGCGAAACACCATGACAGCGCCTTGAGAGACAGTGACACGTCCATTTCCATCCCGTCGGTGGATCACGAGGAGCTGGAGCGCTCCTTTAGTGGATTTAGCATTTCCCAGTCCAAAGAAAATTTGGACGTCCTGAACAATGGTTGCTATGCAGCGGTGGCCCCCTGTGCCAAAATCAGACCCTACATTGCGGAGGGAGAGTCAGACACTGATTCTGACCTCTGCACACCTTGTGGCCCGCCCCCCAGGTCCGCCACGGGTGAAGGACCTTTCAGTGACATGGGCTGGTCAGCCCCTAGACAATGAAGCATCTGACCATTGACTGCACTGAGTCAGAGTCTGGCCAGCCGCCCACTCATGCTGTCCCCACGTTGGACTTCTGGAGGAGAGCTACAGCTAAGGGTTTGTGAATCCGGAACATACTTAGCTTGTGGACATTGTCTTATTCTGGGGACAGATGCTGAGCCTGCATTCAGTAGAAAGAGGCCCTCGTGGTCAATATGTTTGAGCATTGAATTTCTTTCATACTATCTTTCTAAGATAATTAGGTGAAATGATATAAAAATTCAGGGTAGGCAACCACGTTTCTTGGTAATCCTTTAGGATACGGGGCACAAATATCACCGGCAAGGGTTTTTTTTGGAGGGGGGGTGGTTAACCGAATGAATCTTGTACATGATAATTACCATGCTATAGCACTGCGTGACTACACAGTCAAATCCTTTGGCGTTTTAACAGGAATCCATGATTATCTCTGTCTTGTAAAGCATTCCAGGTTACACAGTGACGACTTTTGAATTTACAGAACGTGATCGCCATTAGCCGTTTGGGAATGTGGTACAATTGCCATATAATACATGAAGCCCTCGGCAGGCTCTTGTCAAATTGGAGTTACATTTACGTTCCCATACTGCCTTAAGAAAGACGTATGGTGTCAGGGTGAGACATGCTAGAATGTTAGCAGGAACCCGTTTGGAACCAGAATGATTTTCACATTAAATTTGTCATGTGGGTTAAGTAGAAGAGGAAGGTCAAAGACACAAAATGGAGGGTAGGTCCCGATTACCATAAACTGGGAATGAGCGACAGGGGATGGATCACTATTCTGTTCATTCCCTCTGGGACACCTGGAATTGGTTACTGTTGGAAGTCAGGATACTGGGCTAGATGAACCTTTGGTCTGACCCAGCATGGCCTTTCTTATGTTTTTTTACCTTTGAAGGCAAGGCGGGATACCATAAGCTAGGAGATGGAGACAGGAAAGGAGAACAAGACGTTTCACATTTAAGCTGTGTATTTTATTTAATAATGTACCATCCACAATGGGAAGCCATACCTCCAAGTAGGTGGTTGCAGTGACAAGTTACTCTCATAATTGTTGGCATTGCCAGCGGCACTATGGTGGATCTTCAGCCACAAGACACAGGGAGAAGCCCGTCCCTCGAGATCCCATTGTCCCTCGGCTGTGGCAAGGCAGGTAACCAGAGCACCAGCAGTGGCTGGGCCCTGTAACTCAAAATATTGCCGATTTCGGACACTGCTCGCATTGGGCCTAGGTGCTTTTGCATGCACTAGACTCTCAACAAAGTCCTTTCCTCCGCGACACCACCCCGGCTCACAAAGCTGTCCTGAGATCATCTTCATTGTTTTGTATAGACTCTTCACGCTGACTGACGATGCGCTTCCTTGTTTCCTGCTGGCATTTTTATATGCCTGTGAGCTGGATTATCCATACATGCTGACGGTGGAAGTCTCTCTAGTTTTTTTTCTCTCTCTTGAAAAAGCCAGATAACGATCACGGCATCGTGACTAGCGCATGAAACTGGGAGACACTTGATGATGCAGAAAGTTTCTTTAAGGGGCAAAAGAGTCCCAAAGTGATCCTTTACTGTCCCAGACCTGCAGGGGTCGCTCAAGGGGATGGGTCATAGGACATCTGCTGGTGCATAATGGGATCCACAGTTAGGGCTGCTACACAGCTAAATCCAGCCATTTAACTAGAGCCCTATACCACCGTGTGTGTGTTCTGAAGGAGGTAAACTGCAGTGGAGTCAGGACTGTGCAAGCTATTTGTGTCCCTCTCTCCTCCAACCTCCCTCCACTCCCCGCCACTGTCAATGGCCAGTTTGGGTGATATTTCAAATACACAGCATGCCCCTAGTTCCCTTTGGCCTTGTTGCACCTGATACAGGTACAAGCCCTCCATTTTGCAAGGTTGATCTGCTGGTGGTGAAAGGAGGGACCTGATGTATTCATCCCTCCTAGTGACTAGGAGAAGCTAAGGAGGGAAACAAGCAATTTAAGCAACATTGGTGAACAATTCAGTGGTGCCGGTGGATGTGCACACAAGCAGCCAGCTGTAAACCAACTCCCCCTCCCCAGGGGGAAACCTACAGCTCTTGTTCAGGAACCCCGTGCTAGTCCATGGGGTTCTCTCTAAATTGGAGTCTTTAAAACAAGATTTGGGGACTTCATCCAGAGGTGATGTTCTGCAAGAGTGTATGGGTGAGGCTCTGTGGTCTGCCAAGTGCACCAGACTAGATCTTCATACCAGCCCCTTCTGGTCTGAACATCGATGAGTCTGTGAGATTAACCCAGCAGAGAAGGAACGCCCCTCCCAAACAGGTGGGGGTCTCGACAGCTTCCGCAGGGAAAAGAATTCTTGTAGGCACCCCATCAGGACCAGTGTGGCTGGGAGTGGTGCGGAGAAAGGAGGCTCCATTGTCTTCAGATCCAGTTATCCTCATTATGTGAGTGAGAGGGAGGTCCCTTACTCTTCTAAGGGGCTCCCATGTGTCCATGCCTCCAAGGATAGAGAAGAGGGACCGTTGTAGAGCTAGAGCCTCCTTCGCATTCTGCAGTTCTTTCTTCCCCTCTTGGCCTGACGAAGGCCTTTGTTGGGCTCCAGAATTCCTGCATCGCTTCTGTGATACATCTCACTACAAATAATGTACGATACGCCTCATCTCGGTAAGAGTGTGCGCTTTGAATTTGGATCTGTCATATGTTAAAATCCATATTTATGATGGGCAGCTTATTTCCACACTGCCTCTAAACTCACCTGGTATGACTTTCATAAGATGTGGCTCGTAGTTTCTCTTTACAGCTAATATTACTGCAAATGAATGTTTAAATCTGCCTTTTGCACAAGCAGGTGCAAAAAAAAGTGCATATAGGAAGGCACAAAAATGTTAACAAATGCCGAAGGGGCTCACAGAGATACATTTTCTAATGGGCCTCTAAAATGCATCCATGATATTTGCAGGTGATTCCAGGTATTATGCAAAAATCTACCTTTGCATACATAGCTGACTATTCAGCTGTAAAGAATTACCCAGTTTATAGGAACACGTGTTGGGTTTTTTTTGCACATGCAAGTAAACAGGGTATATCCACACAGCAAAGAAAACTTCATGGCTGGGTTTCAGTGGATTTCCTCCAGGCTAACTCTGGTATAATTTAGAATTGAATTTGGCCCTAATTGGTGATTTTGTTGCTCGTTCACTCTCAGTTTTTCTCACTGTGGTTCAAACCTCCCCATAACACCTCATGTGATCCTTCTGTCTCCAGTCCTTCCCCCACTCCTGTTGCATATGCAGTTGCTGGAGCATCAGTAATGCAGCATTTTCTTAGTTTCTCAATTTGATGGGTGAGAAACATTAATTTTTTTGGAGAGAAAGTTTAATTTTGGCTCCTAAATAGTGTCTTCCCATGAAGATGTTTAATGAAAAATGCAGAGTAAATCTCCCTTCTGCACTGCTGCTTGGCCACTGTGTAGTGTGTGTGTTACCTCTGTGTTGCTAGCTAGCTGATATCTGTACACTGAAACAGATGCTAGTTTTAGACATGTTAAGTTGTGACACAAGCTCGGAAATTCCAAGTTCAAGAGGCTGTTCTGGACAAGCTGTGGGCCAAAGTTCCAATAAGCTTTCTTACCTGCACCTGTGGTATTTGCAGCCGTGTCTTTTGGGCATACCGAAGCCATGTTTGTGTCCACATGAATGTAGGAGGAGTAGAAATACCCTTAAAACAGAACCTAGGGTCTGAACTCCAGGCAGCTTTGGAAGTTTTAAATATCTGATCTCAGATCTTGATTTGAATGTTGCATATGACCCCCATCTTTGTAATGGGCCAGCCCCAAAACCTGGATACGAAACCACATTGAAGTTAGGGGTGTTCTGAGTCCGAGTTAGAATGCAAATTGTACAATTTATGCACATCTGACAACTGAGGTTGTAGACATCGCAAGCCCCATCCAGAGAAGGCCTTTGGAGACATTAGCCTTGATATGGAAGAGGGGAGTACTAGCTCTATGCTGAATTTCCCAATGTTTTGGAAAGAACTTTAATGCATGTGCATTTTCTTGCTGACTCATCTTCTTAGCAGTCATTTCTACACAGAAAAATGTCAAGGAAATTAATGAGAAACATATTGTTTGACCCAGAGAGCCATTGCAGGTCGTTAGGCAAACCACGTAATTAATCAGGTATACAAAAACATGTTTTTAACATAGGTTCATTGATTCAGGTATCTTCAGAGATGTCATTTCTATTTACATGATAAATAGGTGTATTTATACATTTAAAAATGATTTTTACCTGTAGAAATACAAAAATAAAATACATTAAAATGTTTAAATAGCTTTGAAATGTCTAGCATCCTTGGAACAAATAGGGGAATCTAAAGTTGGGGCTGAAACATCCACTTTACATCCTGCAATAATGACTCGGTAGCAGCTTAGATTTTGCCCTGATTTCAGTCTTGCTTCAAGCAGAGGTGAGCCGTGCCAATGCAAATCAGGGCTCTTCATGTCTACACTTCAAGTTCAGTGGCTTGGATCAGGGTAAATTCCCAGTGCAGTCAAGACCTGTGAGCCTGAGATATGTACCAAGCAAAGTCAGTGACAAATCCGAAACAGGACTATGTAGCGCTTTAAAGTAGTCTTTAAAGTGCTACCTAGTCCTGTTTTTTGTTTCAGCTAGACCAGACTAACACGGCTACATCTCTGTTACTATTGACAAATAAGCACATGCTTCAAAGACAGAATTTGGCTCTACGATTTTGAATGACTTGGTTTTTAGTGGGGTCAGAAACCTAACGTCATTTAAGCAGAGTTTTTAACTGGAGCCATGCTGTTATATTTTGTTAGGAATTTGATGATAACAAGGCCAACAAAAAATTTTAAGCGTCGTGATACTTGATGTAGATATGAGGATGCAATGTAAAATGCATGCTGTTTACCCAAGAGAGAAGGGAGTTGCTCCACATCTTTGTTCCATCCCCAAATGGATTTTTTTGAATTACGT